GACATTACCCCATAGTCTTTGGGAGGTTTTGGAGTGAGGGAGTTGTATAGCTGAGGTCATTCTATACATTATACATCTTGCTGTTTTCACTTAGTACCATGGTGTAAGTATTTTCTTGTGTCATTATAAATACTTTATAAACACACTTTTTAATGAGTTTGAAATCCTCTATTACATAAATATGTCATAACTCACTAGACTGTCTTCCTTTAACGTTAGGCATTTGGGATTCCAAATTTTCACTATAAATGCTACATTAAACATCCCTTTGGGTGCAAATTTTTATTTGCATTTCAGATTATCTCCTTAGGATAGATTCCTGGAAGTGGAATAATTGGGTCAAAGGATAAGCATGATTTTAAGACTCTTTGATTCATTTTGTCAGCTTGCTTTCTAGAGTAATTGGATCAGTTTGTGTCTGCTGGGTGGTCCTTTGATGCAGTGAAATAGCCCTTCAAATTCCACCTGTCTGAGCTTGGATGGAACCGAGTGCAGGATCGTTCTGGGGTTTGACGATGGGGCAGTGGCTCAGTGCCATCTGAGTGCAGACTGTTATGCTTGGCCTGGGGTTGGAGATTGCTAGAACTCCTCATGACTAGAGGGACAGTCACTGTGGAATATAACTGACACGCACGGTTGTGTCATCCTAGCGCCACTGTTGAGGAGGGGCCTCCCTGAGTCAGCAATGACCCTAAGGGCAGGAACTGCCCCAGGACCAGGTGAGCTCCTTGGGAGAGGCGGGTCTGAGGCAGTGCTGCTGTGTAGGAGCCACGTCCTGCTTATGTGCACCTGGCACATCCACAAGAGCAGGGGCTCAGGGAAGATGTGTTGGGGAAATGGATGGGGAAGCTTTGGGTACACTCAGTCCGAAGTAGGGGGAAGAATTATGTGTCAAGTTCAGGGACGACACAGCTAGGATGGAGGTGGGCGTCCAGCACAGGTAGGCCCAGAGGACACAGCTAAGGTAGGGGGAGGACCTGCTGAGTCATAGGAGTGACTGAGCCACAGGAGGCAGACCTCTGTGAGTGCTCTCTACAGGCCCTGGATCCTTGAGGCGCTGACTCTAGGGGCTCTAGAGGGGGTGCGATCTTGCAGCTGACACCCTAAGGTGGCTACTGGGTCAGGGTGTTTTCCGTTGAAGGGACGCCACTTGGCTGTGACCACCTTGAGGACAGGGACCCAGTCAAGTTGCTGTGTGTCCCCAGAGCCTAGCACAGTGCTCAGCACCGAGCAAGCAGCTGCTGAATGTGTTGCAGGAAAGGATGAGCAGCGAGTACAGAGCAGAGGCCCAGAGGTGCACAAGCAGGGAGTTTCTCCCCTGGAAGTGCGTGCCTAACGGCCCCCTCCCTCTCCCCAGCTGGAAGACCTGGAAGTCGCTGTAGCTGACCACATCCAGAAGGTCATGAAGCTGAACTTCGAAGCAGCCTGGGATGAGGTAGGAGATGAGTTTGAGAAGGAGGAAACATTCACCTTGTCAACCATCAAGACACTTGAAGGTAAAATCCTTGGCTACTGTTGGCGTGCCTCTCCCCTTTCTCTCCTCCCCGCCCCCTGCCCCCAAGGATCCAGGGCCAATGTCTAGAATGCATACTTCAGACGCCACTTCATTAAAAGCCCCTCAGAGCAGGGTTAGGGGATGGGGAGTGGTGGTGGCACAAAGGGAGACAAGATCTGTGGGTTAATGATACTGGGATTTCTCCGTGCAGAGGCTGTGGGCAATATTGTGAAATTCCTGGGAATGCACCCTTGTGAGAGGTCGGACAAAGTGCCGGATAACAAGAACACCCACACGCTGCTCCTGGCTGGTAAGTGGCATTTCTGAGTGGAGGGGCCTAGGCAGCTCGCAGTGCAGATGCCACTGCATCCTGGGAACGCACGCCCACTGGGGACACAGGGATCCCAACTCACAGTGCCGATGGCTCACCAGGGGCAAAAAGACCCACAGTGAAATGTCCCCCTCCCAACCCTTGCTGCCAGTCATCCGTTCCCTTCCACGGGCGGCCAGTGTCACTATTACAGGCAATGCCGCTCTGTCCTCCAGGGATTTTGTGGCTAGAAAAGTGAATACAGACACATTTCCCTTTTTTAACTCAAATGTTTATGTACACATGGTATGTACATTGCTCTGGACCTGGCTTTTCACTCAACAGTGCATCTTGGAGATCTGCCCTATCAGTACATAGACTTTCCTCATTCTTTCTTTCTTTTGACTGTGGTAAAATATACATAACATAAAATTTACCATTTTAACCATTTGTACAGTTCAGTGGCATTAAGTACATTCACGCTGTTGTGCACTTATCACCACCATCCTCTCCAGAACTTCTTCCTCATCCCAAACTGAATCCTCGTTCCTGTGTATAGCTGCCTCGTATCCCACTATGTGGATGTTCCATAGATTACAGAACCGGCCGTATCAAGGAACACTTAGACTGTTCCAGTCTTTTGCTGTTACAGACAGGGCTACAGTGAATGATCCCAGACATCACATATACATATATACACACATACTTTATTTTTCACGTGTGCACTGAGAATATCTATAGGATAAGTTTCCCAAGGCATTACCAGGTCAAAGTGCATTTCTCATTTCGATAAATATTTCCACTTGCCTTCCATAGGAATTGTATGCCTTTCCTCTCCACTCTGGACAACACACTGTATTATCAGATTTTATGATCTTTATCAGCCTTAGTGAAAAATGGTGTCTTAGTGTAGATTTATTTTACATTTCTTGTATATTGAATGAAGTTAAGCATCTTGTCAAACGTTAAGTGCCATTGTGTTTCCTTTTCTATGAATTGTTTTCATATCCCTCATCTAATTTTCTACTGGGTTGTTGGTCTTTTCTAATAGGAATGGAATTTTAAGCATTCATCTTGGAAATTTTCAAACATACACAAAAATTGAATAGTACAATGAACCTCTGAGTGCCCATCTTCCAGCTAAAACACCTAATAGCATCTATATCCCCACCCATTCTCTCCCTTAGATTTTTTTGGGGGGGAGGGGAGGGTGAGTAAGATTGGCCCTGAGCTAACATCTGTTGCCAATCTTCCTCTTTTTTGTTTTCCCTCCCCAAAGCCCCAGTACATAGTTGTATATCCTAGTTGTAAGTCATTCTAGTTCTTCTGTGTGGGATGCCGCCACAGCATGGCTTGAGCAGTGTATAGGTCTGCATGCAGGATCCGAACTGGTGAACCCTAGGCCACTGAAGTGGAGCAGGTGAACTTAACCACTCGGCCACAGGGCCAGCCCCTCCCTTAGATTATTTTAAAGCAAATTCTAGATAAAGCATTTTGTATATAAATGTTTCTGTTTCTGGATGTTTCTCTAAGAGATAATGACTCTTTATTTAAGGGGAGGGGCAATACAGTTATCACACGTAAAACAGTGAACAGAAGGAAATGGGAGATGCTTTTTGCTGAGTGTTTATAAACAGGGTTGGGAAGGGAGCTCTGCTTCGGTGCCCTGCTCACAGCTGACAGCCCCCAAGCCCACTGAAGCCCCTCAGTCCTTGGGTCTTGCAGACACCTGCTCTGCAGTTTTGTCATGGTGGGGGCTGTCCCTTCATCGTGCTCTTAGATCCAGCCAACGTGTGAGAGCCTCTGACATCAGGGACGAGGCTTGTATGTCTATTAATGTATTTGAGCTTGGCAGAAGCTTGAAATACGGTTAGTATTATCTCCTCCACTTTGTAGATGATACTGCAGCTGAGAGAAGCGGAGTAAGGCACATGAGCCTCAGGGATTCAGCCCAGCTCTCCTGGTTCCAGGCCACTCCCATTTCACTGCACGAGAGCTGCCCGGATCAGTGGCTGCAAACGCCACCCTCAGCCTAGCCTCTGCAGCCCCTTCTGCCTTACACTCCTGTAATTATTGCCTCTTCCCTTCTAGGTGTGTTCCGGGGTGGTCATGACATCCTGGTGCGCTCCCGGCTGCTGCTTTTGGATACAGTAACAATGCAGGTGACAGCCAGAAGTTCGGAGGAGCTGCCAGTAGACATCATTTTGGCGTCTGTTGGCTGAGGCCAGCCTGCATAGGCCCTGCTCCCACCCTTCTCCCCCCAGCACTACGCAGAAGTCACAGCGTCCTCCTGAACCCAGTAGAAACTCCTCAAGCCTGTGTATTCAGAAATAATTAGGAATCATTGAGGGTGTTTTCTTTTTAATTTAATCTCTGCCTCGGGACTACTAGGGGTAACTTTTTTTTTTAAGTAGAGGATGGTTTTAGCTTGTCCTAGAACTGGCTGCCCTTGCTGCCAGGGAAGGGACATTGCAGATGAATAAAATGCTTGCGTCTCCTCTCGAATTTATCCCCCCTAAAACCATCTTGTCCCTATAAATAAATCAGCACGTATTTACTGAACGACTGCTACTTCTGCAGGCTCATGCTTCAGGGCTCCACCTTCCCCTTCGAGGCCGCCCCACCGAGAACACCTGCTCTGTCCCTTTGCACCCACAGCCCTTTGGCTGCTGTACTTTGCAGGGGGCAGGAGCCGCTCCCACTCAGGGCGTGGGAGCCCCAGGCCCGGGAACAGGAGCAGCGCAGGTCTGCGGAGGCAATGACGGCCGCGTGGAGTTCACGCGCTGGGTCTCGCCCTCTCACACCAGCCTCCTCCTCCAGGGGATGCTGCGGGCCCGGGGGGTGGGGTCGCTCCCTGGGTGTCCCCAGCCTCAGGTCGGAGCTGGCGCGTGCCCTGGGGTTCGCCCGCTCCCGGTTCAGTGCAGTTCGGCGACCGCACGGAGGGGCAGAACAGCCCTTCGAGAGCACTCCGTTGGCTGCAGACGCAGAAGGGAAGCGGCCTCGGGCCACGCGGCTGCTCTTTTAAACTCGAGCCGACTTTGTGGCTGAAATACACCTGTAAAGCCGTTTAAAAAACCAGGCCTCCCCCCTCCCCTCAGAGGTTCAGGCTTGGGGGCGGGGGAAGGTGAGGCCCTGAACGCCTCGTTCTGGAGCCCACAGAAGTCTGAGAGTGACTGTGGCTCACGGAGGTTTTCCTCATGGGTGCTCAGCTTTGCCCCGAACTCTGAGGCAGGCGGCAACACGGGGAAGGGCCCCCGACATCGCCCTGGGGCCCTGGTTACGGTTCCCGCTGCACAGAGCAGGACCCAGGCTCCCCGGCGCATCGGCCCGGCTGGCCACGGAGACGACGCTGCTCCCGTGAGACCCGTCCTCCGCCCCACTCCGCGGGTGGTCCTGAGAGGGGACCCGGGGGGACATGGAGGACGGTGGCGCTCTCAGAACCTCGGGATGGAGGAGCCTCCAAAGGCAGGCACAGCCGCCTCCTGCGGCTCTTCCGGAGGGTGCAGGCTCCGCGCCCCGTGGTGCGGGAGGGGAGGGGACGCCCGCGGGCGGAGGGAGCTCGCGGGAGCCGCCGCCGTTGAGGCCCAGGGCTCGAGGCCCAGTGGGAGGCGGGCGACGTGGGCCGGGCCGCGGTGGGGGTGCGGCGGCGCGGGGCGGGCGCGCGGCCGGGGGAAGCGAGGGGCAGCGCGGGTGCGGCGGCGCGGGCGGCTGAGGCGAGGAGACGCGGGCCTGCGCGGGGGGCCGGGGGAAGCGAGGGTGCGGCGGGCGGGCGGCGGAGGCGAGGAGACGCGGGCCTGCGCGGGGGGCCGGGGGAAGCGAGGGGCAGCGCGGGTGCGGCGGCGCGGGCGGCTGAGGCGAGGAGACGCGGGCCTGCGCGGGCTGCCGAGGGAAGCGAGGGGCAGCGCGGGTGCGGCGGGCGGGCGGCGGAGGCGAGGAGACGCGGGCCTGCGCGGGGGGCCGAGGAAGCGAGGGGCAGCGCGGGTGCGGCGGGCGGGCGGGCGGAGGCGAGGAGACGCGGGCCTGCGCTGGGGGCCGGGGAAGCGAGGGGCAGCGCGGGTGCGGCGGGCGGGCGGGCGGAGGCGAGGAGACGCGGGCCTGCGCTGGGGGCCGGGGGAAGCGAGGGGCAGCGCGGGCGCGGCGGGCGGGGCGGAGGCGAGGAGACGCGGGCCTGCGCGGGGGCCGGGGGAAGCGAGGGGCAGCGCGGGCGCGGCGGGCGGGCGGCGGAGGCGAGGAGACGCGGGCCTGCGCTGGGGGCCGGGGAAGCGAGGGGCAGCGCGGGCGCGGCGGCGCGGGCCGGCGAAGTGGCGGGCGGCCCAGGGCGGAGGGGAGGCGCCGAGTTTCTGTGCGGGCGGCGCCGGCGGCCGGGGCGCGTCTGGAGCCGGGCGGGTGCTCGCTGCTGTGAGGCGCCCGTTAATCCCAGGAGGGGACGGGGAAGGGCGTGGGGACGAGTCGGTGGGGACAGAAGGCATCGCGCAGGGGAAGGAGGTGCTGGCCCCGCAGAGACGCGGACACCCGCCTGCCTCTCCGGGCTGAGCGCTTCAGTGAGGGAGGGAGCCTCGTCCGGAGCCCCGCGTCCGTGCGTGCGGCCGGCTCTCCGGGGCCGCTGCTCTGCTCGGGGCCTGCGGGGGGCTGGCCCGGGGCCCGGGGGAGCGCCGCAGGCAGAGGCCGTTCCTCTGAGGAAGGCCGGACGGACGGTGACGGAGCCCAGTGGCGGCGCTGAGGGAGCTCCTGGGGAGCCGGGGGAGACGCTGCGACTGAAGGAGTGAGGTGCGATGTGTGAGATGCACGAGCCTCCTAGTGTTTTGTCACTGGAGGTGGTGAGAGGCCGACATCCGTCACTTACCCAAAGGTGTTCGCACAGGAGCTCGGCTGTCAGGACCGCAGGGCCAGCAGCGTCCCCGAGTGGAGGGACCCTGATGAGCATTGCCCCTCTTACAGCAAGAGCCCTGGATGGAACAGCCCAGAGCTGCTGCCTCACTGCGCTTTGAGACGGCGGCCGCTGTGTCAGCACCGTCCTGGCTTGTGCTGGGGCGCTGTGATGTCCCTACTTCTGTTCCGTTTGGCGTGTGCTCGGCTGCTGAGACGACATTGAAACCAGCCCTTACTGACACATCTGACCCCCAGCCGAGAAGCGCTCTGGGCTTCACTGGAAAGAGAAGTTTTATCAGTGTTTTTTAATCTTAGAAGATGATTCCGTATTCTTCAGGCTCAATTTAAGTGCCTTCTCTGTACAAGGCATACTAGTGTTCATGCACACTGAATTTATATGAGCCTTGTATTTCAATACTTTTTTAAAAATAATAAATGGCATTTTAACTTTTTTTTTTAGCTTGGCACCTGAGCTAACATCTGTTGCCCGTCGTCTTATTTTTCTTGTTCTCCTTATCCCCGAAGTCCCCCCAGTACAGAGGTGTGTATTCTAGTTGTAGGTCCTAGTTGTGGCATGTGGGATGCGCCTCAGCATGGCTGATGAGCAATGCCATGTCCACGCCCAGGATCCAAACCGGGGAAACCCCAGGCCACCGAAGCAGAGCACTGGAACTCAACCACTCGGCCACGGCAGCCCTGAATACTGTTTTTAAGACAGCATCTTTCACGCCTCACCGATCATCAGGGTCATTCGAGTATTTTTAAAAAACAAACAAAAGATTTCTATGCCTCTTACCAAGCTAGCTGAATCAGAATCTCTAGGCTTAGGGCAGGTTTAAGATTAGGTAATCTAAGACACCTTTGATGTTTCTTGAACTTTGAAGTTTCTACCCTTTCTTCTTGTGTTTTCAGTGTTTTTATGTTTGTCTTTTACTGAAGCTACAGATATTTGGTGTGGTTACCGGAAGTTTAATTGTGTTCATTGTGTTTATAGTATTGACCCTGCGGTATTGGAGTGAACAGTAATTCATAATCATATTGGTTCTTTGCTTTATCTCCCAAAAGTTTGTGTGTGTGTGTACACACGTGTGCAATGTAATAAAAATGCTTTATTCCAGAAATTAATAGTTTCTCCATGTCTTAAATATTTTAAATGCCTTTGCTATTTTGTTTTGGGTTTTTTTGAGGAAGATTAGCCCTGAGCTAACATCTGTCGCCAATCCTCCTCTTTTTGCTGAGGAAGACTGGCCCTGAGCTAACATCCGTGCCCGTCTTCCTCCACTTTATATGTGGGATGCCTGCCTCAGCATGGCCTGATGAGCAGTGCCATGTCCACACCCGGGATCCAAACCGGCGAACCCAGGGACGCCAAATCAGAACGTGCGAACTTAACCACTGTGCCACCGGGCCAGCCCCTGATATGTTTTTAAAAATCATGGTTGTTTCCATCCTGGATTTTTATTCTATTTGGCCTATAATGTTTAAATCACTTTATAAAGTTGATTATACCCCTGCTAAACACTCTTCAGAACTCTTGTGATAATATGGTAGGCAAAGACTCATTTCTGCATTAGAAGGACCACGTTATTTGAAATAAACGTCCTAAACAACATTGATCTTTTTGGTTGAATGAAGCCATTTACATGAAATAGTTTATTCTTGGGCCACTTTTAGTGGATGCGTACTTCCTTATTGAAACTAAAAAAAACATTTTTTTAATGACAGAAAAATCAAAATAAATATGGGTAACTTTGGGAAAGGAAAAAATAAAGCATGTTTTAAAGGAAGTCTTAATTTGAAGTGAAAAGAGAGAGTGTATGAGCCTTATTCTTTTCTGGCCTCTAGCTTTGTACCACCTGTTTAGAACTAGAGAATGAATGTTAGCTAGAAGAAAAATTTGTTTAACGGATGTAAAGACAGAAGTGAAGAGAGATTATGACTTGACCTCGGTTACCCAATCAGTGAGGGACAGAGCCTGAACTGAGGTCCAGATCACTGTCCCCACTCCAGGGGATGCTTCCTGGAACTAGGAATGGGGAAGGTGGAGCCTCCTAGCAAACTTAGCCCTCCTTTTCTGTCAGTGGTGTGAATTTGCTGATGTAGTGTTTTGACTCCACATTTCTCATAAATTTTAAGATTGCTAAGGTTGGGGCGGGCCCTGTAGCCAAGTGGTTAAGTTCACGTGCTCCACTTTGGCGGTCCAGGGTTTCATCGGTTCCGATCCTGGTGCAGACGTGGCACTGCTCATCAGGTCATGTTGAGGCAGCATCCCATATAGCACAACCAGAGGCACTCACAACTAGAATATTCAACTATGTACATGGAGGCTTTGGGGAGAAGAAGGACAAAAAAAGATTGGCAACAGATGTTAGCGCAAGTGCCAATATTTAAAAAAAAAAAAAGATTGCTAGGGTTTCCTAATTTTGATAAGTATTTGAGGTTTCATTTTTCTCAAACCTGTAATTGTAAAGCAAAATTAGAATCATTTCAGTAGTTCATTAATGCATATCATCAAGGGCCAGCATGTGTGTTTACATTGTAACATTTGCATTTGAAACCCCTGGTTTGCAGAGTACTTCCTCTTTCATTTGTCTACCTCAGAGTTACCAGCTGTCCTGGTCACAAGTTCAAAAGAGAAAGGGAAAGATGAGTCATATTTTCAGTATTTTGAGCTGAATTTTGAGTATATGAGCAATGTTTTCAGTATTTTGGTGTCTCAGCCTCTTCCTATTCATTGTCCCCAATAGGGGCGCAGCCTGATGTTTGGATTTGATTGACAGTTTTCCAGTGAACACACTCAAGTTAAAGATGATCAGTGGAATTTGTAAGAGTAGGATTTCTCAACCTTGGCACTATTGACATTCTGGGTGGAATAACTCTTTGTTGTGGGAATCTGTCCTGTGCATTGTAGAATGTTTAGCAGTGTCACTGGCCTCCACCTACTAGATTCTAGTAGCAACCGCCAGGTCATAACCCAAAATGTCTTCTGATCTTGCCACATCTACCCACTAGATGCCAGTAGCACACCCCTTCTTTTTCTCCCCCGGTCTTGGGGACTGGGGTGGGGGTCTCAAAATTGCCCCATGTTGAGAACCTTAAATTTAGAATATTGTCTTGCAAATTTCTGATGAGAGATCATTTAATTGGCTGTTATATAATGGTATCTTATTCTCATTTATGCTTTGGGCAGGGAGACCTTCTGCTTGTGTTACCACCCAAGGTTGGGGATTGTCTGCCCTGCTGCAAGACATGCCCGTAGTCAAGAGGCAAGGTGGTAGGAGAGAAAGGGTTTTATTACAGCTTGCTAGCAAGGGGGAGGATGGCTGACTAATGTCCAAAGGAACCATCTTACAGAACAAAGACTACAGGTCAGTTCTATAGGGTATGGTGTCCTGGTGAGGGAGGCATCTGATCCCTGGGTGGGGCAGACACCTGGTCTTAGTTCCTGATAGTCTTTGTTTACTGGGTATGCATCAGACATGGGAGCAAGGCCCTATACCCTCATCTTTCAGTTGTCATTGATAATGGCTATCCATAGATTCTCTGCCCAGAGGCCATCACATTCTTAAGGAACTCCAAAGAACAAAGTTATCAACTTATAGCAGCTGAGAGGGGCCATAAAAACAACAGAGCATATCTGGGTTAATCATAGGTCATTCAAAGTTACAATATGGTTTCTTTTCTATAATATGGCTTCCCTTATGTCAACCTTGTGTTGAGCTGATATTGATGTGGGCTCGGAGAGCAGAGAAGTCGAAAGAAAGATTTCTTGGACTCTCAAGGTCTGGCAGTAGTGCTCTGTTATTCAAAGAATAGCATGGAGTAGCATGGGGACAGGGCCCATGGGCAGTAAAGAGCTGCAGCATGGGGACAGGACCAAGGGGCAGTAAGAATTACAATGTGTTGAGGGTTAGAGCTAAATTTATAAGGCATAGGTATGTGAGTTATTTCTTTACCATACAAAGAAAAGATCATGAAAAAAATCATTAAAATGGTCTCAGTGCAGGTGGGGTCTGCTTATCGGGTGGTCCTATAACTTTAGATAGGAATCAGGTCGGATGAGGTCAGGATGTCCTGTGCTTCCCAGAGGGTGGTATAGATGGGTATGTATGAGCACAGTGGAAGGATTAGCTTTAAACAAAAGGGAGGCCCTTCCCAGACAGTACCGTTACTGATGATTCCTTTCTTGGAATTCCATCCTCTGGACTTTTCTCATTCTACTTTTCTATCTCTGAGTACTTTTTATTAGACTTTACTTTCCCCTCGTTTCTCCTGTTTTCTTTTTGTACCCCATGTTAAATCCTGTGCTTGATTTACTCTCTAAGAAACTATATCCTCGTGGCTTTAACAATCACCTTTGTATAGAAATTTTTACTATTTGTTTTTAATTATAACCTTAGAAAAATATTAAACTACAATTTGTGTGTCTGTTTCATGCCACACATTTTAATGATCCTACAAGGTAGGTATTGTCACTCTATTTTTACAGATAAGGAAAGTTGA